TATAAGCCTAATGTTTACTAATGTCGATAAAACGACAATTTCAGGTGCCAACATTAAATTGTTTAACTATTATCTAACATTAAAATAAGCATTTATGAGGATTTATGATTAATTAAATGAAGAATATTTTTTATATTCTCGAATTTTATAGTGCTTAGTTATAGCCCCAATCTATATATAAGAGAGGTGAGTTCAATTTATATAATTTTATGATTTTTTTTATAATTAGGCTAACTTTATAGAAATACTGAAGGTGCTTATTCTAAAAATTTTCTCTCTTTATGTTTTGTTTTCTTTGATTCAGCTACAGATCGAAAGGTAGAAGATGATGTTGAGGATTCCTACTTAAGAATTTATTATGAAGAACAAGTTTAAGAACCAAAATATCCCAAAACCACACAAACTTTACTCATTAAATTGGCCTTTCCTAAATTTTGATTGAAATATTATTAAATAGTTTAAACCCTACATGATTTGATGATTTGAAGAAAAGTAAAAATTGGGTAACAAATTTCTGCTCACCAAATCTTGAAATGCAGTATTTTGGAAATATTCTATATTATAGCCTCCGCACAATGAGCAATTATTACGTCCGGTCACCGAATGTGTTCATAGACCAATAGCCATGCGCCACTTCACCTGAAAACTCGGTATTGACACTCCATATTGCTCGATTTACATACGTTCGGATTTAAATGGAAGTAATAATTATTCCCGCTCAATGTCCACATCACTCTATCTCTCCGCCGTTTTAGCTAATCAGTAATCTGGACCAATTTTTTTTTACCAACGGGCCTACACGTTAATATCGCGAAAAATTTACACAGTCCTTAAATGGACCTCTAACTCACTACTGCTCCGAAGAGCTACAATCAAAATCAAAAAGAAACCTAAGAGCCGGATTTCCCTACTAACCAAAATTACAAAATAATCTAGTAACATTCTATGAACCAAAAAGCAAAGGGAAAATATAATCACTTTCAATATGTCCCTTCTAACAGCACACGTACCCTGCAAAAAACAAGCGCAGAGCTCCAAAAACCTGAAAAACAGGCCTGCAAGGATACTAAAGAAAAAATTAAACAAGCAGAAAAACTTAAAGGCAGAATGAAGATCCAATAAAACAGATATGCTCCCAAGATTGCAAAAGACCCACAAGGTCATATACTAACTAGTGTAATAGCCGTTAGGATACTTGCTGCCGTAAAACCAAACCCACCAGAGCATAAAATTCTAGATAGTAAAGTTAGCCCCATAATATTCAAGCCCCTTCCAGGTAGGCACCAAAAACCAAAGATGTCCCATATTAAAAAATTCAATACAATGCATGATGTGAGTATACATATCCAAATTCAGAGTTGAGAGAAAAATGACCCAAGACCAATAGCACCAAACAAAAATAGAGACAGCGAGATCAATCCAGCAATAGGAAAATTGAAAAACGATGCAGTGCCTAAGCCCGATAGTCCACCCAATGAAGAAACACAGTAAGAAGATAAAGCACTAATTGGCCAAAAACAACATACCAAAAACCATGAGATCAGACACAAAACAACACAATTGAAGATAAAAATCATAAATAAGAGTGTCAACAGAAGATAACAGCAGGACAAGGGAAAAAACCATACAAACAACACCTGCAAAAAGCAAAAACCAGCAAACAGGAAGTAACAAAACAAAAACCGCAAACAGAAAAGAAACCCCCCATTAGTTAAACCTCATATAAGGAAACCCCATTCGGTCCAACTTGATAAGCCCCTTAATATCCCTGGAAAGGGAATTTTCATTGAATTGCAAAAAACCATCTAGGTCACACCCCAGCTTAGCTAAACCATCAGCCACCGCATTGCCCTCACGTAGAATATGAGAGATTGAGTAATTAATACGAGATAAATAATGCTTAATATCTCTAATCTTGTAAAAATTATTGGGGTTAGTCTTTGAATTGCCATTAATATAATGAATTAAAAGCAAGGCATTAACTTCCACCCAAATATTAGTAATACCAAGGGAGAGACATAATTGAACCCCATACAGCAGGCTATCAGTTTCAGCTTGAAAAGCATTAGTACTAGAGGAGGGGCCAGCATAAGCCACAACAGCCATACCATTATGATCACGAATAATGCCACCACACCCAGCCTTACCGTTATTATAAGAGCCATCCGTATTGAGTTTAAAACTATCGTTAACAGGACGCCTCCAGTAAACCAACTTCTCTTTTTGATAATAGGCTGAAAATTGAATTTCAGGCCAAACTCAATAGCAGTAGGAATGCAATTCTTAAAAGCCCCAACTTTAATTAAATTCACACTATAGAGTTGAAGAATCTTGTTCTTAACTTTAGCAATGACATTTAAAGCATTCATACCAATATTATCATGCTTGGAAGCATTACGGCTTTCCCATAAATACCAACAGATAATAACAAGGATAATATTTCTAATGTGACCTTTGATAGGAAGGAGCCAATCTCTAAGCATAGCATTAATCGAATCATACTGAACACAAGAAAGCACATTAAAAATGTTATCAAAATAAATCCACACTTTGATAGCAATCGGGCCATTGATGAAGACATAATTAAAATTCTCGATATGATAGCAACATTGGCATTTAGAAATAATAACCAACCATTTTTTCATCAAAAGAGAATCAACAGGTAAATAGTTGTGTAAAAATCTCCAAAGTAAGAAAGAGTAAGTAGGAGAAATATTAGCATGCCAAATATACTCATAAAGATAGTTTTTAGGCAAAATATGCTAATCAAATTCCAAACAAGTTTAATATCAAAGCGCCCATCAGTAGACCTATTAAATAAAATACAATCTTCATTCCCCTTGTAAATGGAGATCTTAGTAATTTAACTAATAATGGTATCAGGAATCATATTAGCAAGCAAATTCAAATCCCAAGTGTCATTAATAAATAAATCCTTAACTTTTAGATTAGAAGTAGAATGAGTATTTAAAAGATTGTCAATAGAAAAATTACACAGCCACTTATCTTGCCAAAAGTAAATGTTCCCAACACCAAAACCCCATTGAATGAACTCTTCAGCTTCCCACTTGATAATGCAAAGTCTTTTCCAATTGAAGGAGTCCCCTGGTTTGAAGCAACAATTCAAGGGATGATTGACAAAATAGTATTTGGCCGTCATGATTTTAGCCCATAAACTTTTATTAGATATGAAAGAAAATCAAAGTTTATGATTAAAAGACTTGGACATATCAATTAAGGTATGAAAGCCAAGTATGCCCTCATCCTTATTCCCAGCACTTTTAGTCCAAGAACTCCAGATAATAGAACGATTACCCTCTTTAGAACCCCAAAGAAACTTGTTAAAAATAATTTCCATTTTGTTACAGATATGATTAGTATGGCTCAAAGTATGCATCAGATAGATCGGAATGTAGCTTAACACATGTTTAATAAGAACAATTCTACCACCATAAGACAGAAAATTAAAAGCCCAAGAAGAAAGTTTCTTATGGATGATCTTAAAAACCCTATCAAACAGATGAGACCGCTTCTTCCCTTAGCGGAGTCTTTAACAACAAACTTCCTTTCAATGCTAGCAATATGAGTATTAGAAATAAACTTAGCAGGAATAAAATAACACTTAGTAGGATTAAAGATTAAACCACTAGCTTGTTTAAAGCTATTAAGAAATTTAAAAAGGAAGTTCAGCATTTTCATAGAACCATTGGAGAAAATAATAAAATCATCAGCAAAACTCAAATGAGTAATGGGAAAACCATCATTCGTTTTGTAGTAGAGACTAGAATAAAACCAGAAAAGATTATTAATGCCACGGGATAAAAATTCAACAGCAATGATAAAAAGAGCAGGGGATAAGGGGTCACCCTGTCTAATACTATTAGAAGACTTGAAGAAACCATGAGACTTACCATTGATAATAACAGAAAAATGACAATTCTCAATACAATTTTTAATAAGATTGATAAATTGCAAATTAAAATAAAAAAGATTTAAAATTTTGTAAAGAAACATCCAATTCAAATTGTCGTAAGTCTTAGAAATATCCATCTAAAAAATAACATTCCCACAAGAAATTTTAGCCTTAAGATCATGAACAAGTTCTTGAGCAAGTAAGACATTATAAAAAATCGATCTACCTTTAACAAACTCAGTTTGCTCTAAAGAAATAATTTTAGGAAGAATAATAGTTAGCCTAGCCACAATAATTTTAGCAATAAGCTTGTTAAAAAAGGTACATAAGCTAATGGGACGAAAATCATTCCAATAAGTAGCACCATTAGACCTAGGGATTAAAACAATAGAAGTGGAAGTAAAAACTTTTGGCATTGGGGCACCTTCAAAAAAATCCACCACAACATTAATAATATCATCTTTTATAATAGACCACGATTTTAGAAAAAACTTGGTCGTGAACCCATTAGGGCCGGCCACCGAATCAAATATCATATATTTTAAAATATTCAAAATTTCATCTTCAGTCGGAATAATGGTCAGCATCATATTATCAGCATTGGAAATAATGGCAGGAATAAAATAAAAATCTGTATTTAAATCAGGCCTAAAATTGTTGTTGAAAATCTTCTCAAAATCTAGTAACATTCTATGAACCAAAAAGCAAAGGGAAAATATAGAATCGGGACCGAACTTCCTTACCCGTTACGCGAGGAAATAATAGGGTTAGGGTTGCGATTTTGGAATTTTTATTGCCTCAGGTTACCTGACCTAACTCTACATTCGGTATTCTTCAAATTGCGACACCTTGCAGCCTCAATTACCCGTAATGACCCGACGCGGCCCATACGCTTTAGCACGTTTTTTAAAATATTTCGAGTCGGCCCGTGGTTGCATTGTATATGAATTGGGTGGGAAAACTAAAATAGTACGTGGTTTTTACCTCAAGTATAATAACCTTTTGGTATTAAACCTAAGATGTTATACAGTCTTTAGGGTTCATATAATTCTCATATACATGAAGAAATCGTGAAGTGTTTGAGGAGATGGAAGGATCGAATTTAGGTTTTGCTTTGGAAGACTTCGTTGATTTCGAGGAAACTCTGACGTTAAACTATGATCAAGCATTTTTTGATTTAATACAAGTAAGTCATTATCTATACTATTTGTTTTTTTTTTCTTTTTACTGTTTCATTACTGGGTATCAACCTAAAATCATAAAAATCCATTAGATTTACTCGGTACAGTGTTTCGAGCTAATCAAATGTTGGTTGTAGTAGTACCGATCAGTACAGTTATTAAGTATCGCTTGGTATAAGATAGTACTGATCATTACATGGAACCGATCATTCTATTAGCTCGGTATAAGCTCGGTATTGATTATTATAGCTCGGTATAAGGTTACTACTGATTTTAATAGCTCGGTATAAACTCAGTGCACATTTCTACCGAGCTAATAAATATTAGTACATCGTAGTGCCGATCATTCAACCTCGGTATAAGCTCCGTATAAGGTCGATATTGATATTTAGTTATAAAGATAAACTGGATGTATGAATATTTCATAGGGTGTTTACAATTCTGAGAAGGAAGCATATGAAAAATATTGCAAGTACGCGCATTCAACTGGATTTAGTGTTCGGAAAGATCATCATCATTTCTGGCTAAATTCAAGGAAAATCAAATCAAAGGATTTTGTGTGTTCTAAAGCAGGTTTCAAGAAGGTGACTGAGAGTGGCACAAAGATAAAATATCGAAGATCATGTACAAAAACAGGATGTCTAGCCATGGTTAGATTTTATGTGAGTCAAGATGGGATTTGGGGAGTGAATAAAGCTATAGAGACTTACAATCACGAACTTGCTAGGCCGGATGATCAATATTTGCTCAGGTCATCTAGGAGCATTAGTGATGATAATGCAGCTATTTTGAAATCTATGTCAGAAGCAGGGATAAGAATTGTCGATGCATTTATATACCTATCTGATGAAGTTGGAGGTGTGGGTAATCTTGATTTCATAAAGCGGGATGCATACAACTACATCCAAAAAGAAAGAAAAGCCAAGATTGAGACTGAAGACACTAATTCACTGATCAAGTTGTTTAAAGAATGGGTAATTGATGACAACATGTTTGCATGGGATGTCGAAACTGATAAAGACGGTTATTTATTGAATTTCTTCTGGGTTGATGGTCTTGGTAGAATTGATTATGATTATTTTGGGGACGTGATTATATTCGATACAAGTTATTGTTTAAATAAATATAACTTAGCTTGTGCCCCAATTGTGGGAGTGAATAATCACTGGTAAAATGTTTTATTAGGAGTTGCATTTTTATCTGATGAGACTATTGATTCTTTTACCTGGCTTTTTATAATATTTCTAAAAATTATGGATAACAACATCCCATTATTATTTTTACTGATCATGACCAAGCCATGGCCAGGGCAATAGAGATTGCATTGCCTAATACACGGCATCGATTGTGCCAATGACATCTGTACAAGAAGGCACCTTTAAAGGTATGGTGCTTTAACAGCAATAATAGAGTTAAATTCTTATTTTTTTATTATTTTAAACAAAGTGATTATGTGGAGGAATTTGAGAGAAAATGGACTAAAATGATCTCAGAAGGAAACCTGCAAAGCCATCAATGGTTGAATGATCTCTACAAAATCAAGGAGAAGTGGTCAACTGCATTCAACAAAGATTATTTTAACCTTGGCATTTTATCAACCCAACGTAGTGAATCAACCAATCATGTATGCCATGGTTATTCCAAGCCAACAAGTACTATCATTGAGTGTTTCCTCGGTTTGGAAAGGTGATGAGGACTTGGCGTCGAAATGAACAAGATGAAGAATTCAGATGTAGTCAAACAAATATAGAGCCTTATATGAAAAGTAGCCTAATATTGAAGCAAGCTCTAAAATTTTATTCAAGAAAGTTGTATGCATTTTTTAAAGAGGAGTTCTTACATGGACTTGGTGGATTATGCATTGAGCATTCATCATCGGATTTATCAAGGTTTTATGTATGAAACATAGACAACTCCACTGATTCACACAATTAGATTGTTAATTTTAATTCATTAGAAGGTACCATTTAATGCAGCTGTGCAAAGTTCAAAATGATAGGTATATTATGTGCACATTATATGAGAGTAATGAGATATTTAGATATTGTTAATATTCCCATTAAATATTTACTCCCAATATGGTCAGTCAATGCTCGAAAAGATTTATATTCTGGAGGGAAGATCCCATGTCTCGGTATCAATGGTTGTCAACCTATTGAGGGGTCAAGCAACTTGATGTTTAGAAATTATATATGCCGATTTACATATAAAATTAGCACAGAAGCACAAGGTAATGAGAAGGCTGAAAAGTGTGTCATAGATGATTTAAGTACTTTGGCTGCAAAAGTGCATTCCATCAAGCTTGGCAGAAAGAACAAACCAATTTCTGGAGCAGGTAATGAAACTATTAAACATCCTAAGAAGTGCCGGCCAAAGGGCATTTCAAATACAATATTGAAGGATCACTGGGAGAAAAGAAAGACCAAAAAAGTTAAACCCACATAGAAGATTACACCAACAAGCATACACTTTACAAATCCAGATTTAGGTAGTCAATCATCTTTCATGTAATCTGTTAATTTGTAGAAATTTCTATTATGAATATGACATTTTGATTGTATATGTGAATTTGGAGAAATTTCTATTCTGAATATGACATTCTGAGTGTATATGTGAATTTTTATAATTTTGAGATTTTTTTAGTACTGTAATAAATTTTTATTGCTCAGTATTACTCTATAATTAGTTGGTTTTGCTTGGTACTTGATTACAAAAGTCGGTATCGATCGGTATTCGGTGTGTACTGAGCAAATTTTGGCTAATACCAAGCAATACCGATCGATATTTGGTTTGTATCGAGCAAATTTTGTGGAATACCAAGCAAATTTCTGATTGTATACTCGATATTTGAATACATAAGTCGGTATTGCTCGGTAATTTGTGTGTACTGAGCTGCATTAATACAGTACCGAGAAAATTTTAATTAATATCGAGCATACCGATCTGTTTTCATATTGCTCGGTATTAGTTAATGATTACTGGCCATTTCTCGGTTTAGTCCTTCTTAGCACTTAGTACCATTTAGTTGAAATTAAAAATGCACAAGAAATATACAAGAAAAGTTCATTTATTTCATAATCTATTGAATTTTTGTACATAACAGGGCATATGCTAATTCAGCCCTGAATAGTAGCATACTAGATTGCCAGTTTTTATAAAGATACCATTGAACAGGTTCTTGTTGTATTACAACTTCCATATATTTATAAAGAAACATGCCGCAATCAACGCTGTTATCTTGTGTTGGCACATTTCTAAATCCCTTGATTGGCCATTTCATTATATTAATGTCAAAGGCGGTCTTTGTATCCTTGTAGAAATGAGAAATCTGGAAAAGTAAAATAAAATTAATATTAAATATTATTAAGACTGAAATAAAATAAAAAAATTTTGTTTTTACTTACAACTTTTGGGAGTATGGCTTTGTGTGTCTTTTTGGGTAATGAATTATAAAACTCCCATTATTTTTTTCTCAAATTATATACTAGAAGCGTCCAATGTTTACTGTTTATTATAGGAACGAAGATCAAATTTACATTCATAATAACGATTTTGTTTATATAAGATACGAAGCTTGTTGTATTTGTCTCATTTGATTGTTGGTAGTAGCCCTGGTTAAGAAGAAATAACAGTGGTGATTAATTCCAACATGTTTAAATCTAATAAATAGAAATAACAAACTCAAGGATTAAAAATTGTTTACTAACCCAATGGAAACTAGAAATAAAAATAAAAGGTTGATTAAGCCCGGGGCAAAGTGCATTCTTCTGGATTAATAAATGATCAAACGCATCAACGTGATTATTATCAAGCTCTTCTAACATTAATAACTCGTCCAATTGGCTTATAAAAATTATTATATTTCCAAACTCAAAAATAGTATCGTTCCTAGATAATTCAAAAAAACATTCATTACAAAAGATGAATAAAAAAATAAAAAGATAATCGTAAACCTCGATACTACTCGGTATTGATATAGTACCGAGTCTATTTAATATAAAAAAAGTAGTACAGGTCAGTAAAGCTCGGTACTACTCGTTATTGATATAGTACCGTATCAATACTGAGTAGTATCGAGCTTTACTGATCGGTACTACTCGGTATTGATATAGTACCAAGTATACTTAATATAATACCGAGTAGTACTGATCAGTAAAGCTCGGTACTACTCGGTACTACTCAGTATTGATATAGTACCGAGTATACTTAATATAATACCGAGTAGTACCGATCAGTATAGCTCAGTACTACTCAGTATTACTTGGTACTACTCGGTATTGATATAGTATCGAGCATACTTAATATAATACCGAGTAGTACCGAGCTTTACTCGGTATTGATATAATTTGGTCGGTATAAATTCAATACTCACTTATCCTTAAATTGTTTCAGGCCATTATCAATGAATAGGCGTTTATCTTCACTAATTAATGATCGGCCAGGGTAATCTAAGTATTCAAGTGCAGGTCTCAATTCTATTTCTTTAGAATCATCAACTTCATAAACAATCATAGATTTATCAGCACCAGGTTCAACATCATTTACAGAAGCATGTTCAGGCTCTGGATCAGTTGAAGGTATTGGTTCAGGTGTAGGACCTGTTTCAGGTGCTGGTGCAAGTTCACTTGGAGAAGTTGGGGAAGGTTCAATCGTAGGAGGTGGTGCAGGTGTAGGAGTTATTTCAGGTGCTAGTGCAAGTTCATTGGCAGAAGTTGGAGCAGGTTCAGTTGGAGGAGGTGGTGTCGAAGCTGGTGTTGGTGCAGGAGCAGGTTCAGGTGCTATTGCAGGAGTATCACTTGAAATTGAGTGACCGAACTTTTCTTTGGATGACAAATTTAGTTTAATTTTCTTCTTCCTATCACCCCTTGTAAAAGGTGTGGATACAACTTTTCTCTTTCTATCATTTCTCTTTTGAACTCTTTTTGTAATGCCGGTTAGTAAGGATGGATCAACCTCATCCTCACTCAGGGTGACATCCTTTTCAGATATAATACTTGATGAGGAAGAACCAGCAGCCATTTCTTTCTTATAAGTTTTAAAATAAGCAGGAAATTGATCTTGGAAGAACAACAAAATAAAGCCATCTTTCTTTTTTATATGTTCTTTCAAATCAAAATTCTCCTCTTTCAAATCAAAACAGATTGTTCCAGAATCACTATGCGCTATTCAAGGTCACTATTGGTTGCTTCCACCTCTGCTACCTTCTTCTTCATAAATTTATCCTCGGTAAACAGCTTATACATTGCTTGATTTAATATCCACAGGTTTGTTTCATCATTTACTGGACTTGATTTAGGATGTGAAGATGAATCGGGATCAGTTGGGCTTGCCACCCATACTAGACTAACTGGACTAGGTGGAGATGAGTCATGTTTGGGTGGGCTTGCCTCCCTTATCGGACTGGGTACCCTACAACAACATCAAGCCTTTACCCACTACGTGGGGTCGGCTACATGAATCTTTTTTCTCCATTGTGTCCTATTTAAGGTCAAATTCACATTTAAATCTAATAAAGAAAGGTCATTCTTAATATTTTCTAACCAAGTCTTTTTAGGTCTGCCTCTACCTTTCTTAACATAAGTCAAATCTAATACCTCTACTCTCCTAACCGGGTCATTGGAAGGCCGTCATTTTATGTGACCAAACCATCTAAGGCGACTCTCTCTAATCTTATCTTCTACTTGAGCTACTCCAACCTTTTCACGTATATGCTCATTTCGTATCCTATCTCTAAGGGTAAAGCCACTCATCCACCTAAGTATCCTCATCTCTGCCACACTTAACTTAGTATTATGATTCTCTTTTAATGGCCAACATTCAGCACCATAAAGCATTGCAGGCCTCACTACCATCTTATAGAATTTTCCGTTAAGTTTGAGGGGTACTTTTCTATCACACAACAAGCCCGATGCATTCCTCCACTTCAACCATCCAACTTGAATTCTGCTGATAATATCCCCATTTAGTTCACCATCACTCTGAATAATAGATCCAAGATATCTAAAACGTGTACTCTTATTAATGACTTGATCGCCCAAAGTCACAATCCCCTCAATAGGTCTATTACTACTAAAATAACACTCCAATATTCTTTTTTAGATCCACTCAAGCGAAAACCTTTAGTCACTAAAGTTGACCTCCACAATTCAAGTTTACTTTCAACTCCCTCTCT